CTTGCTCAGGCTGGTCTCAAACTCCTGACCTTGAGCGATCCACCCGCCTCGGCCTCCCAGAGTGCTAGGATTACAGGCGTGAGCCACCGCGCCCGGCCTGTTTCTAGCAATTTTTTTCTCTTGATTGTGGTTCACATTTTCTTGCTTCTTTACGTGGCTTTTATTGATTTATAGACATCACGAATAATACCTTGTAGTGAGTCTGGATCACGTTATCTTCCTTTAAATGGTATTATTTTTTGTTAGAGTGGGACTATTTCTATTTGAATTTAGTAGAATATGGCTCATAGGCTAGCTAGCTGTTTTTGTAAGTGAAGTTTTATTGGAATATAGCCACACCCATTTGTTTATATATTTTCTGTGGCTATTTTTGTGCTACAGTACCAGAGCTCAATAGTTGTGAAGTAGGCCATATGTGCCTTAGCCTATTCAGGCCATTGTAACAAAATACCATAAACTAGGTGTTTGTAAACAACAAAGTTATTTCTCCTAGTTTTGTAGGCTGGGAAGTCCAAGATAAAGGAACTGACTTTGGTGAGAGCCCACTTCCTGGTTCATGGATGGCCAGCTTCTCCCTGTGTCCTCACATGGCAGTGGGGGCAAGGGAGCTCTCTGGGGTCTCTTACAAGGGCACTCATATTTGGGGTTTCAACATATGAACAGGAGGGGCATAAACACTCAGCATAGGACTTAGGTTTGTGAGCCATACACTATCTAGCCCTTTAAGAAAATATTTGCCAGCCCCTGCTCTAAGGTATGCTCCTGACTCCTAAAATGGTGTCACATTTCTTAGTAGTAACTAAATGCCTTAAGTGTTCAATGAGATTTCTCCACTCTGGGTGAAACTCCAAGGATTCCCAATACTGTATAACTTCTGGTATCGCTGTTCAACTCTAAGTCTCAGAGCAAATAATTTTTTGCTAGGTCTTACACATCCTTATCCTGCACACCCCAGCACTCAAACAAGTACCCTGCAAATTTCTGCCTCCCTCCCCAAGGTTCTCTTTTCTCTTGAACTGTCTTGTAAATTCCAGTTGCTTCAGTAACCCAAACCTCTGCTTCTTCAGCTTAGAATTGCCACGCTCCTTGGGCTCAACCTCCACATGATAATGCTGGAAGATAGCCCCAAGCAGAACCCTAGGATGATCAATCGTGGGATTTAACATCTTGTGTGTCCCTTCTCAGGAATCAGTCCTACATTGCCTGTTTAAAGCTCAATGCCTGAAAATACCTGCTGACATATTTTGTCTGGGTTTAAAATTGTTTTGGGGTGAAAGTGTAAATCTGGCACTACAGTTAAGAAAAAGCTGCTTTTGCAGAAAACACAGGATATTCTGATGATTCTTCTCACAGCCATTTATCTGACACTCACTGACTTCTTTAAGTAAATTTTTTCAGGTTAACTATGTCCAGTTCCCTTAACCATCCCTCATACTACAAAATAGATACTATGGGGTAAGTCATAACATGCTGGAGATGCACAACCAAGACAGTCCCCATCTTCAGGGATTTCAGTCTAGTAAGCAAGACAGACATTACACATATCCCTTGTTCCCTTTTTGAAATACATCTCTGAAATCTGGAGCATGAAGTAGGGCATAAAAAGCAAAAGGTATATTTCCTTTCTCCGTTCCCCCCATATCACCCTTATTAGGGTTAGGGAACAGATAAGACTATTATGAGAGAAACTGAGTAGAATTTATAGAAATCTAAAGAATATACAGCAGTAGACCTGGCAAACATCACCTTCTCTAGACATCTTTAATTACAAACTATTAAAAAATAAATTAGATGCATGCTAGCCTTTACATTCTTAAAAATCAATGGTTTCAGAAACAAGTCAATTGAGTTTTATGAATTTTTAGTGCTATGGCTTTAGTCTAAAAACTAAGATATAATCAGGGACCATTAACCTCATTCATAGAGACTGCCTGCACTCACCTACAGTGGAGTTGTTTTGTATCGATTCAAGTCCTTTCTTAAGAGAAGTTCATTCAGTGGCAACACCCACTTGGGAAGGTTAGAAGGAACATCACACGCATGGTAGCCTACTTACCATCCAAACATCAAACAAGGGTAAGAATGAGATATTTAGGAGGAAAAAAATCTTTAAGCTTATTTTAATCTGAGCTTTTCATATAATTTCATAGGGAATTCATAAGAAAAAATAGGTGCCTTTGCTATGTCTAGCCTGTGTTGTTTAGAGTTGGCACTAGTGTAAAAGCTATCATTTTTTACTATTCTTTGAGTTGTAAATATTACACCAGGGGACAAAGCCTGACTCTAAAGTTTAGGACAGGAGCAAATTTTGATATGCTTATTTCCTTTGTCAATATAGATCAGGGGTCAGCAAACATATTCTGTAAAGGGCCAGACAGTAAATATTTTAAGCTTTGTGGGCCACTGGTCTGTTACAACTATTCAATTCTGCCACTGTAGCATGAAAGCAACCACAGCTTTCAAACAAATGAGCATGGCTGTGTTCTGATAAACGTTATTTACAAAAACAGGCAACTGGAATTTGATCCAAGAGCTATCGTTTGCTGACCCTTGGTATAGATAAATAAATCTAAGCTAGCGAAAGTTGAACTGTTTGCAGTTTTATAAAATTTTCAAGATCTTTAAAAAACATTTTCCTATTTTGTAAATTGCCAAGATAAAGCTGTTGTTACCTCACATTTCCTCCACGTGAAAGGGACTTTTACATGCTACTGAATCGTATATAATTTTGCTTTCTATTAACTTCAAAATGAAACCTCCCTTTTCTTGACAGATAAACACTACACGTGAAGAGTGCTGAAAGGGAACATCGATTATTGAAGTGACCTGGAGAGGGGGAAAGCACTGGTCAACATCACGTGGACAAACTCTCGTTTTTCTAAAGATGCTGCTGAAATAGTCTTTGCTACTGCTTTCCTTCATTAGTCCAAGCTCTTTATAACATGGGCTGTGTGAAATCAAAGCAAACTTTCCCATTTTCTACGCCATTTGAACCTGAGAAGCAGCATGAGAATGAAGAAAACTTGATGCCTTCTTCGGTTACTGTCAAAAACGAAGTGAAGCAACCCTCGGGGACCAGTACTGTGGTCCTTGAATATGCACAGCGCCTATCCCAGGAAATCTTGTGTGATGCCTTGAACCAATGGGCATTCAATAACGTCATGTACTATGACATCCCATACATCGAGTATGAGGGCCCTGATGCTGCAGAATGACAACGCTTTCTCGACTGGCTATATAGTTGGTGCTAGCTTAAATACATGAAAACAAAAGCAAAAACTGGTGTGAATAAGTACAAATAACTCCAGCTGGCTGTAAAACATGTCTATGATTATGTCACTAGTGTAAGAACACCTAAGATGAAATATGTTTTAAGCAGTTCTATGTTGACAGTAATTTCTCTCTGCTTGGGCTTGGATTTTAGTCATTTGAAGGGCTGAACAGAGGTCCTGTGATACCCAGTAAGCAGCTGTATGTCACAGCACTTTCTTCCTGAGGCAGTAATGATATCACCAAAGAAAATGCTGAGCAATAAGTGCTCCAAGTTCCAAATGATTAAAGACATTCCTTTAAAATAAAATTTCTGTTAATTCACACCCCCCAAAAAACCCAGATGTAGAGTTTTCTCAAAATGCCTTAGCAAGGGAATGGCACTCAAGCCATAGTGATCAGCAGTGGGTCTTACTTGTCAAAACCATGTGTGTCAAGGATCTCCACTTCTTAACACAAATGATCTAGCATTAGAAAGCAACTCATGTAGAAGTTATCCACCTTGAATCTCAGGGCCCTAAATAGCTACAGCTATTACTGGATGACTGAAGACATTGCATACAAAGCCATCTTAAAAAGATAATGATTTACAGAAGCCATAACATTAATATTTATTGCATTGAATTAATAAGCAGCCCAGTGATATAACTATACAAAGAAAACAAGTATGGGTACCTTTTATAAACAACAATCCAGTATATCTTAAAAATAAGCAGCCTACCTGCAAAGTAGAAAGCAAAACCTGGTGTCAGTACTAATTGTATGTTAAGTTTTACTGCCTCAGATACAGAGGGCTGGAATATGGGCCCAGCTAATACATGAGTATTTACAGTTGTACTATAAGAACATTCCTGTCAAGGAGAGTATTCATGTATTTATTTTTTTAGTGGTAATACATGCCTATAGGACATTTATAGCCATCTACCATACTATTTTGATGAGTCTGGCTATCTTTGGGGAAAGGGGAAGTCTTTACTGTTGCAGCACACACAGATGCACTTTTTAAAAGGATTAAGTACTGATTAAAGATTGATAAGTGATTAAAAAAATTGCAGGGGGGGATATAACTTGTAGGAAAATTGGGACTGAGTTTCTAGAATAATCTTGTCATCAAGATTTGCTACATATGGAGTTTAAAAGGAAATTATTTAAGCCTGTGTATGTTAGATCCTTTTATTAATACACCATTGTTATTGAAATCTAAAAGGCAGAAAAAGGCTTGACCTTTGTAATGAGATAAATATGTATATGACATCGTAAGCAGGTAGGAATGCTACCTTTAATTTTAACAATACTTTGAAACCCCCAATCAGAGTGAATTCTCCAAGTTACACAAGCAAAGTTATTTGAAATGAGTGATATGCCATCTTTAGCCTCTGGACACCTCATCATTCAACTTTAATTCTACCTAGTCTCAGGATTCATACCGTCCCTATTGTACAGTCTAGCAACTTGTATGAAGAGGAATGGTTGTTGTTCTATTTTACAAGGATCTGAAATCATCAGGTTAAGGGCACAAAGTTTCCCATAAGTATAAAACATTTCCAGGTCATGAAGAGAAGTTTAGGTTTTTGAGTGTTTACTCAGACAAAAGCCTAGATGGGGTGGTTTTTCATTCATTTTATATCTCATGTCAGGATCTTTGCTGCAAGGTTACTTGCTGTTTAAAAGATATAATTAGGTATATGGAATAGTAAGTATCACGGTGAGGACACAGAGCCACATAAAGCAGCATGTCCCATTAAATTTGTCAGCATACACAGAGATAGCGACTAGCAGGTTTTGGTTATATCTAAACATTTTAACTTCAGGTTCCTTCTCGTCCTGGGCCCCTATCTCCCAGGAGTTTAACAGGGATGCCTCCCAGATCCATATCTAGCAAGAAGTCTAAATCCCTGTTGCTGCCCTCTCTCAGCAACTATGGCGGTACAGTTTTGTCACTGAGAACCCACCCCTGTGCCCCTGAATAATATTTTAATAGAGTATATCTTGTGTACAATATTTCCCGGAGACTTATCTTTGAAATATATGCTGCATTATATGCCAATGCATGAACAAGGAACTACAAGACTTGCATAATCAGTGAGCTAATGGATAAACCAAGTTGGGGGCAGGTAGGAGCTGAATAAACAAATTTGTACTACATATGATAGTCATCTCATCACAATATAGTTTGGCCTAATGACAAGATGGATGAGAATATCTCTGATAGGATAATTAGCCTTCTTTTATACATTTATATTGAAATATTGGCTTTACTTCATTTTGAAGGTCTTTCATGAACAATAAAAAAGTAGAAGGTCTACTGAGATGGAAGGAAACATACAGCACAGAAGACGGAAAGAATTTTGAGCTACTGGAAAGGCAAACATTTGGAACATCCAGTGTAAGGGCAAGTGAGCCTCTATCAGCACAGCAAAGAACCTCCAGGTGGCAACTGTGGAAACAGATTATTAGAGAAAATAAACATGCCAATTCCTTATTTACAGAGACTTACCTAACCCCACAAACATGCTTCGCTGTTGCCTTCCCCAAGTGTCTCTCATGTGCTGTTACATTTCAGTTACATGCCTTTGATCCGAGAATTCTCCACTTTTAGTTGCCTTATCAGTTCTTTGCAAACTGCCTGTGATTGTTAGCACTTAAAGCACAATTTTGAAGGGGACAAAAAACAATTATCTTAGTCCCATAGGAATATTTTGTGTCAAATTGCCTTATTAGTATTAAAAACAGACACACTGAATGAATATAGTAGTATAATACTCATATCCTACTTGATATCATTGGCATTTTATGAAATGAGAGAAGTATACTTTTGTATTACATAGTTTTAGAAATCAAAAGTTAGAGATACTTCGTAAGTAATGTCAAGGAATAGCAATTTAAAAACAAAGTTTTAACAAACAAATACGTTGTTTGCTTAATCATAATGCTCTCCTTCTATATTTGAATGGCCAAATAGGACATGTCTTCCCTGGCACCATGGGCTCAGAAGCACTACCTGCATCTTAATTTATAAAACTCAAGTTTTGTTAACAGATTCTTTTCTCTGTAGGACTTAGCTATGAAGTGGTATATTTTTTCCAAATATTTTTGTGAAAACTTTTTTTGTAACTGTACAATAAAAGTCCAGTTGCAATTAACTAGTTATGAGTTCTTATTTAACTGAAGGCAAATGCTTTTCAACATTACATATTATACTTTCGAATCTTTTAACAACATAAAAAACACATTTTGCGCAGTTAACAAATGTAAAAGCAAATAAAAATCCATTTATACAAATAATTTCTTGGATCATTCAGGTCCAATTTAGGAGTTTTAAGAATACAAATGAAAACATGTTCAATATCATGGCATCTTTACTCCACATCTGTTCCTGGATTTTTTAGAAGAAAAATGCTTCATATAAAATAGATTAAGAACTGAGAAAATTTAAACAAATATCTTCTGGGCTGCAATTTTCTCCTTTATGAGAGAGGTACAGGACATATTCTTTTTATGTCTCTTTCAGCTCTGTTGGCTTTTTGTTCTTACAAACCTGAAGTTCTCTTAGTTTCTAAGGGGTATGGGATGAAGGAGAAACTATAACAAGCTACAAAATAAATGATAAACTGACCTTTAGAAATTATTCTTACCTAGAACTTTGAGTCTATAACATCTTGCAGTTTCTTGTATACCTTAAAAAAACATTTTGTCAACAATACCAATTACTGAGGCTATATTTTGAACAAAAGTCTTTTCAATTAAGTTTTTTCTCCTGATTTGCACCTTGTGTAAGTACAATTAACTTATCACACATACGTCTGATGTAAATTATAAAAACCAGAATGTCTCTATCTTAGAGATGGGCAGTTTCCTAATTTCTCATTCTGCCAGAGTAACAAATATTGCAAATAACAAGAAACAATGCTTTCATTTTTACCCTGGGAAGGTATTCTGATTACTTTAAGAAAGGCAAGGCTGAGTTAATAATACTAGAGAGATAACTTCATAAAAACCTTTTCTCTTTGCCCAAGATTTCTAATGTTTATAAAAGGAGCTCTTCTGCTACAGTAACCCAACTATTTAAAAATACACTCATATATGGAGGAAATTCTATGAGGCATTAATACAGTATCCCAAAAAAACCTTTCAGTGTCTTTATTTTTGATAATCTATACCTAAGTTTATTTAATCAACATATAAACCACTACCAAAAGCCAAACATAGTTACCATTTCAATTAGATATACTAACTCAAGAGAATCTTTAATGACCTTTGAATTTTCCCATCTTTTAAAACGGGTTGGCAAACTTTTTCTGATAAGAACCAGACAATAAATATTTTAGGCTTTGTAGGCCATACAATCTCTGTTGTAACTACTCAATTCAAAGTAGCCATAGATAATATGTAAAACATGAGGACAGCTATGTTCCAATAAAGCTTTATTGGTGAACACTGATATTTGAATTTCATATAATTTTCATAAATCATGAAATATTAGTTTCTGATTCTTTTCCCAACCATTTTAAAATACATAAACCATTCTTAGCTTGCAAGCTGTATAAAAACAGGCAGCAAGCTGGATTTGGACCATATGCTGCAGTTTGCCAACCACTGCTCCAAAATATACCTGGAAAAGACCAGTCACCTCAAAATTTCAAATCACTGCTTCCTAGAGACTTAAAGTGATTATTCACATCTTCATCAGTAACTTCTTTTAGATCAGCTGGTTTCCACTTTGGACTCTGGTCTTTATCAATTAAAACTGTCAAGAGAAGATACAGATGTCAGTACATTTCTTTCTGGTATTACCAGATTTTAATTACTGAATTGACAGAAACTATCTTGTACTAGGCATATTTTTATATAGTACTTTTTTCCCCCAAAGTTTAAGTTTTTGCACATGTTCTATTTTTCTTTTAAATTAAACCTCCAAGGAATCTGTATAGATAGCAATATATTATACTTTTGATGACTGGCATGAGTATTTTATAACTTTCTAAGCCTCACGTCTAGCCTACTTAACTAATCCAGCAGTTAAAACATTAGAACTCTTTATTCTTTTTCAAATAAAATCGTAAATGAAACCTCCATGTTACAAAGCAGCTAAAACCAGAGTTGGTGTGGTTTAAAAGGAAGACAGGGGAGGGCAGAGGTCCCAGATGTGCCTACTAACCTCCTCCACCCATTGGGTTTTGGGAGGAAAATTAATCACTTAAGGTAGGAGAAGGGGACTTTATGCATACTTAAATGTGGATATTGTTGTTCTGCTGAATCCTCCAGTTCAGACAGCTCTGAGTTTAAAAATCAACCACCTTTAGGTTATCACAAAACCTTTTACTTCTCCTATTTCAGTGTAGTCATCACTTAGTGCAGCCACATAGTATCCCCACAGGATTGTAAGTATGAGACAATTTGTAACCTCTCTTCAAAAAAGGAGGGCAATGTCCATTTCCTGGTTGTGAAAGTATACTGTAGTTATACAAATTTGTTATTTTGGAAACGAGGTGGGGGTATGCAGGATCTCTATATTATTTCTTACAACTGCATGTGAATCTACAATTCAAAACTATTTTTTTTTAAAGGTATGGTTGTAGCAGCAAATTTCCAACCATGCTCAAATGTACATAATTCTTGTGAAGAATGGAAATATTTAAATATACAAACACTATAGTGAAATGGGAAAACCTAATTTGGCATTCAAAGGCTAAATAGTTAAGTCGCAGCAGTATGGGATCCAAGGAAGGAAGACTGCCTTCGTAGGCAGAAGGAAGCTTATATGCAATTAAATGTGGATACTGGAGGTTTTTAGGGTTTGGCTCCCTACACTATGAGATTCTGGTATTGGCTCAGTGTGATATTAAACACTGATGTTCTGATCCCTACCAATTTGAAAGTTTTATATATTCCCTGGATGGTGTAAACCAAGAACAATACTAGGATTTCCACAAGAATTTCTTTCTCTTTAAGTGTTCTGGCCAATACTATCTACCTCCTTGAGATCCCACTGAAGAGCAAAAGGAAAGAGAATATTAATCAAATCTCTGTTATTTCAAGTGAACAAAATTTTTTACCTAAAATAGATATAGCTTAAGTTCCTGCCATGTAGGCAGCTCAAGTTTTTCAGAAGATCTCCTGAGATACCCACTCAAACTCCATTTGGTAACTATCTATCCTCTACTAAAATAGCCCATTTTTTTCTATAACCAGAAGTAGTGTGCTGTAGATGTTAAGAGTAAGAATTTTTAATAACTATTTCCCTAATTTGCTAGCTTAATTTATCTGGTATGCTAACACATTTTTATAATTAGCAAATCGTAGCAAACATCTGATTATGTAAGAACACTAAACGGTTTTACCCAGGATATTGCTTTCTGAATAAACAAGCTAAGCTGAAAGAGGAGGCAATATATTTTATCTTCATTAAAAAGTAGCATGAATAGCACTTGCTTTATGAATCAGAACTTTGATGATGCTTGGTTTCAGTTTTTTCCTTAAAATAACTGAGAGTACTTATCTAAAAACAATACCTTTCTTTATTAAGAAGGGCCATTATAACATATAATGAATACTTTATCAATATAACCCAACCAGCATACAGGTTCCCTAAAATTAGAGGTCTAGGCTATAATCTACATGCATGAAGAATTTGCAGAGATTAGTGGGAAAAATGCATATTTTACTTTTTCTATAAAACCAAGTAAAATCCAGCCTCTGACTCAACCCCATGTGTCTTCTAAAAGGGTTTGAATTAAGTGCTTATTTCTCATATATCATGTGATTGGTGTTCATCAAAGCTTACAGCTCAGAGAACATAACCTTTTATTCAGACAAAAAAGTATAAACAGAGTTTGTACTGTATTAATATGAGTAATAAAAACATAAGAAAATTAGATATGCAAAGTGCATATAAAAGGAAATAACTTGTTTTATACAACATAAATAACAGCTCTATATAGGGATATATGTTATACATAAAAAGGAATTGTTGCAAGTTTGCTAGAAAAAAACAATCAACCACTTCACTTTCTCTAAATATTCTCACTTTGGGGATGATAAGCAAAAGTGGAAAGTATTAATAAGAACATTTGCAAATGTTACTAATTATGTCATATGGTTTTTTCCCCAGTGATGTTTAACTGCTCAAGTACAGGCAAGAAGGTGAATAATATGGTTTGACTACTGCTTGATTTTGCCAGGCCAGGACAAAACAGGGAAGAAGGGTAGGGGACTTGAGGGCTTTTTGCAGGGGAATAAATGCATGTTTTAAAGGCCGCAGCAGCAGGATGAGTTCACAAGTTTACACTGCACTTATCAGAGGTGAGTCTGTAGGAGCAGAATTACCTCTTAACATATAAATTAGGGAGTAGTGCCACATTATGCAAATTTTTTTAAATAATATTAGTTTCAAGGACTGATCTTGCCTTATATCCCAGATGGTAATATTTTTTTAAAAAACACAATTTTGCAAACTTTATAAAGGTTTGATTTCACTAAAAATAACTACAGGTTGATTATCCCTTGTCCAAAATGCTTGGGACCAGAAGTGTTTCAGATTTTGGAATATTTCCATCATACTTACGCTCCAATGGGGATATCCTTTGAGTGTCATGTCAGCACTCAAAAATTTTTAGATTTTGGAGCATTTAAGATTTCAAATTTTTGGATTTGGGATATGCAGCCTGTATCATCTTTAACAGCATATGCTCACAAATCTATTTCCCTAATAGCCAGGAAGGAAACACAACTATTTGTCACTTACCAGCTCTAATGCCTTCATGAAAGTCATGACCTCCCTGAAAGAAAATTGAGATTAAAGGGGGATAATTTCTAGGTGTTCTTATTCCTGGTGATCATCTCTCTCCTCCACCCACTTCAGCCTCCCACTCTCATGGCCACAACCTGAACCATGACATTCAGAGACTGAGCCACCTCTGATAACCCACTCTGTGATCACCACCTCCTGATCTTGTATTTGTGCAAGTATCTCCACTGCTGCAAATCCTTGCTCTTACTGAGGTCCACAGATCCTATGACTTTCTCCCCAATGTGTTGGCTTCATTTTGCTCTTCACTCAGCTCAGTTTCATCAGTCCTTTAATATGGCACTTTCTTTGAAAATGTCCTCATCTCCCTCAAACTTCTTTCTCTTTTATACAAACCTGGCAAAATCCCGGCACCAGCTGAACCCTAACATGTACTTCTGCCTACATTTGAGCAGCTAAATCTTGCTACAGAAAATCATACAACTGTGACTGGTTTCATTTAAAATTCATGATCACAAATCTCAAACAGGCATGGAAAACAGAACAATCCATGATCTCTTGCACACTCCCCAAGATAATGATTTAAACCATTTTCTCCCCTCTCAAGCTCTACCGCTAGAGCACACTCTACTCTAACTGCAAGATACGAACAGTCTTGTCTTCCTACCACTAAAACACCTGTAGCCAAACTACACTTGTCTTCCTTTTCATGACTGTGGAGGAAGAAACCATTCCCCTTTGAAAGGCCAGCCCTCACCTGCCCTCCAATCCCCATGCCCTCTTGCCTCCTCAAGGGGTTATCCACTTCTCCTTTTCCAGGCATCATCAACGTAGACAATATAACTGAGCAGCTGAGTGCTTATGGTTCAAATGCCTGAATTCACATCCTGGTTCTACTACATATTAACCATGTGTCCTTGGGCTAGTAGTTTTTCTAACGCCCAGTTTCCTTACATGAAATGGCAATATCATCAAATTATTTTAATCCATATCCCAGTACAGTGTCCGACACACAGCAAGTGCTCGGCAAATATTAAGTATTATTATCAATCTCTACTGGATCATTTCCAGTCATTTACAATGATGTTCTGGTACTTTCCATCTTACAAAATAAAGAAACTTCACTTGATTCCACAGTCCCATCATCTACCCCATTTCTGTTTCTGGGAGTTGTATACACATATTGCCTCTACTTCTTCACATCCCATTTTCTCATTTCCTCTCCAACTTTAATGCACTTGAGTATCTGCCGCCACCACACTCCTCTAAAATGGCTTGCCAACGCCACCTACAACTTCAGTGTCATCAAATTCAAAGGACACTTCTACCCTCATCTATAGACACTTTGGCAATATTCAACACTGTTCATCACTCTCTCCTCCCTAAAACATTTCTCTCCTGCTTTGTGACACCATACTCTCCTGGTTCTCCTACCTCTCAGTCCTTTTTTCCCCTCCCACTGCTCTTTCTCTATCCCACTGCAAAATGTTGAAGTTCCTCAGGGCTCAGATCTGGTCTCTTTCATTTTCTTTCTATGGGATCTTATCCATTCAGTGCTCAACACATGACCTTGATGATCAGTTCTGTCAAAGTAGAAGATCATGGCATTCCTCTGCGGAAAACCATCTAGTGACTTCCCATTTTACTCAGAACAAAAGCCAAAGTCCTTACAGAGACCTTCACAGCCCTGTACATTCTGCACAGCCCTTCCCTACATTGCTCCCTTTGGCCTCATCTCTCACTTTCTACCCCCTCTGCGCAGCCTCCTTACCATTCCTAGCACAGGCGGGTCTCAGAGCTTAGTACCTGTGGTCCCCTCTGCCTGGGATGTTGTTCTTCCAGGCACTCACATGGCTCACTTGCTCACTTCTTTAAAATCTTCACTCAAGGAATATCTCAGTGAGGTCTCCTCTGGTCATCCTGTCTACGTTCAATATCCCATCCTCCTTGATTATTTGTTCTTAATATTTGTAATTATATTATGTTTTATATATTTATCTTTTTTACACTCTATTTCTCCACTATACAGTAAGTGTTCCATTAAGGTAGGGGTCTTGTGTGTTTTGTTTACCTATGTATTTTTGGTCCAACAGTGCCTAGCACATAGTAAGGACTCTTGTTTAGTAAATAAATTCCTAACTTTCTTTTAATTGGTACTAGTGTCTTTCAGACTTAATCTCTAACTCATACCTCTAAGCTCCAACTCCTAAACATATTCTCTCCCTCATATCCATCATCAAATCCTATCAATTCTATCTCCATTTATCTCAAATTTATTTCTCTCCATTGCCAGCATGCTACTCTAGTCTAAACCATTACTATTTTACTACTGGATCACTGCAGTAAACTCATGTCTGGTCTCTACATCTACTTTTTTTTTTTTTTTTTGAGATAGGGTCTCACTCTGCCACCCAGGCTAGAGTGCCATGGCATCATCATACTCACAGCAACCTCAAACTCCTGGGCTCAAGCGATCCTCCTGCCCCAGCCTCCTGAGTAGCTGGGACTACGGGTGTGTGTCACCACAGCCAGCTGATACATCTACTCTTGAACCCCTCCCTATCTCCACTCAGCCATAATTACCTTCTTAAAGCAAATCAAATCAAATGAAAAATCAAATCACTCCCTATTAAACCCAAGAGGCTTTTCAACGTACTCATTTCTCCTCCTTTAGGTCACAGATCTCAAAGCTGTCTTCCCGGACCTACTTAAAGCAGGCTTCCCTTTGCCTCCCAACTCCCTCCTGTCCCTGCATCATTCGCTTCTATTACCAACCCTGTGTGTTTCCTTTAGAGCACTTACCACAATTTATAATTATTTTATACTTATTTTGTTTACTTGTTCTTTACAGTTTCAGTAGACTAAACGCCATGAAAACAAAGGACTGTTTTCTTATGCAACAACATAACCCTAACACTTAGCACAGTGTCTGGTATATAATTAACATGTCTGCTGAGAAGATGAAGGAAGGAATCAATCAATCTAGGCAATGCACTAAAAGTGCAATGGAAACCGTGGACCGACTGTGTGAGGTATGCAGGAGAGTGGCCAAGAGCACTGGCACTAGCGGAAGACTGCCTGGTTTCACGTGTCATGTCTCTGTCACTTAACAGCTGCATGACCTTAGGAAGGTTACTTCTCTATGCCACAGTATCCTCACCTGTAAAATGGAGACAATAATAGTATCTATCCTTCTAGAGCTACTGTGAGATTTAACAGAGAGAATGCATATAAAGTGCCTAGCATAGTACTTGTATATAATAAACACTCAATAGACTTCAGCTGCCATTTACATCCTATAAGAGTGAGTTTAAGACATTGCAAATAGAGCTTTATTTCTAATTAGATGAAATGCTTTAAGTATCTTAATAACTATTTCAAGACATTAAAGTATATTAGGGGGCTCAATGTGGTGGCTCACACTTGTAATCCTAGTACTCTGGGAGGCCAAGGCAGGATGATTGCTTGAGGGCAGAAGTTCGATACCAGTCTGATCAAGAGAGAGACCCCATCTCTACTAAAAATAGAAAAAATTAGCCGGCCATGGTGGTGCACACCTGTAGTCTCAGCTACTCAGGAGGCTGAGGCAGGAGGATCACTTGAGCCCAGGAGTTTGAGGTTGCTGTGAGTTAGGCTGATGCCATGGCACTCTAGCCCAGGTGACAGAGTGAGACTTTGTCTCCAAAAAAAAAAAGTATATTAGGAATGTCTGCCTGCTGGTTATTAAACCAAATATTCCCTTTAGTCTGTAAGTTTATTAATCTAAACGATATGATGCTTTTTAAGGACCCTTTGAACATAAGGGATGATTCTGCCTTTAAAGAGTTTATCATCTGGAAGAGGAAATAACTATGACTTTGCATGTTTCATGAAATCAATATTCCACATGATTACTGTCCACTCTAATTATATTTACAGTGGTACTCTCAACACTTATTAATTAAAACATGTACCTGACTAATAAGTTCCATTTGTGCATTTATTTTATACATATTCGCTTATAAGTAATATCCCTCATTTTATAATACCAATGAGGGAATTCACACTAGAGAGCTTATGCTTCTTACCCAAGGTCACAGAGATCATGTCTAAAAAATGGTTAATTTCTACTTTGAATTCCACATGAGGTTAGAGGACTTCTTACACTTACATACAAATGTCACTGCTATTTCATAAAGGCTTAATAAAAATCTGAGTAGCAATACTTCCATACATTTAAAGCTAACTGGCCTGTTGTGTTTTCATAAATTTACAGGTATTATAATTTTTAATTTTCATGTTTATACTGAATGTATTTTACATGTTCTACAATCAACACTACTTTCATAACTAAAAAATGATAATTAAAAAAAAATTCTTACCATACAAGCTTGACTTAGACGATATTCCATAGTTAATACTTCCTGCAAGGTCTTTGAAGACCCCTCCATGAGTTGCCTTAGTGTGATCTTTAGAGAGGTTGGAGACATCTTATTAATTACCTTTTGGGGGGAAAATACTAGTTTTAGGCCAACAGCTCCTTTATTGTCTATAATAAACTTTATTTCCATACAAATCATATTAAAATATGCCCCTTAATAGTAATTTCATATGCCAAAGTCTCATAAAAGATTGTATCTTAACCTAATTCTGCCAAAGCACCAAATAAGAGTTTTCTAATCTATTATAAAAACATTATTCCACAAATAGAATAAATTCTGTCCCTATAACTTAAGCAATAAACCTACATTTGTAGTTTGCCTGGCATAAATTATGATCCCAACTAGCTAATTAATAAAATCAATACACACCTTACCAGCTGCTTATATTTACAGAGGACGTTTAATTTTACAATGTAAAGAAGGTGAAGGGGTAGAGATACAATAGCTCGTCCTTCCCAATTTGTGGCTCTGAAGAAATGTCATAATTCTAGTCTCCACCTAAAAATAAATCTACTTACCTTGGAAGTAAGGAGAGAAAAGAAGTTACTGTGAGGCATTCTTCTATGGTATTTAAATATTTAATAAAATAAGAATTACAGATTTGCCTCCTTGGCTACAATGCTATGCCACTCCTTTTAAACGCAAAGATGTTATCACTAGTTCCGATACATGTGTATGACTGTAATGTCAACAGCTGCCACAAGAGGTCATTACATGTTGTGTACATCTGATGCCTGCCCTTTCCTTTGTAATTGCAATGCATAGTTTTCAGGCTTATTGTTGAATGGTCTCGAAGGTTTAGACTTTACTTGAGTTCAAACAATTCTCCACTTCAAGATTCTGTATTCCCTTGTAGCATCCTTAAGTCTGGCAACTGGATTCAAAGAACAGACTGAATGGACAAGACAGTCAGTATCTTACCTAGCAGTTGCCAGAGATTAGACTATACAGGAAAAATTCAGAGGTTAGTATCCTACCTACAGCCACAGTGCTGCTGAAAAGATGGAAAGAAAAATGATTAAGGGCTGTGATAAAAAATAGTTCTTCATGGGAACTCATTCTCTGCTCTACGTGCTTTAGGGACATTATCCCACTTACTGCCCTTGATAGCAATCCTGCTCCACGTTCTCGCCTTTTTGTTGCAGGCTGTGGGTACACAGGGATACGTAGAAGTCTGTACATTGTGCTAAGAGGCCCCTCCCTTTCTGTAGGCAAGGAGATAATGGATCCATTTTGCTGACAAAAATCACTAGTTTTCTTTAGCGGGAGCAATACCCATATTATCTCAGGTGAACACCTGGCAGAACTTTACTCACAATGCTAAAAGGTACATTTAAGGGAGTGACACAGCCATCCTCTGGCTTTTCTAGTCTGCAAGGTCAATGAAGCTACAACTCCCCTCACTGCTGGTGTGCAAGCCCACAATCATTCCTCAGCGCTACCATTACAGTTAACTGCTTATGGTTTCTATTTCTTGGTTTGGCACTTTATGTGCCATCTGGATTTCTCAAAACAAACAAAAAAAATCTGTCTGTTATTACAGTTCCTCCGTTTGCTACCAATTAATTTCATAAGAAAAGCCCCTATGGGGACCCCATGTATCTGGGCTTGTCTCAAACATACACAAAGAAATGGGAAAACCTCGTTTAAAAATCTGTTGGTTCAGAGATTTCATGAAATATATTTTCAAAGGCAGACATAAGAAGAAACTGGTGTACTGACAGCCCAGGGATCCTTACAGTTTCCAACAACTCTTAGTATGCGGGCAATTGAGCACAGAAGCTTAGGGTTGGGACTCTAGGGTCAGACAGCTCTGGGTTGGAATTCCAGCTCCACCACCTCCTAGATAACTGACCTTAGTTTCCTCGTTTGTACAATAGTGATAATAATACTACTCGCCTTGTAAATGGTATGGCAGTACAGGGTAGTGCAATGTGTCAGAAATCAAGCAAAACAGGGAAGGGAGGGAATATTTATGGAGCACATTTCCCTTAGCCCTCAAGGAAGTACTTTAACATGTTTAATCCCAATTTGGGAAAGGGCACGGCATGCCCACTTTACAGATGAGGAAACCAGGTCTGATACGAATTTGTCAAAGGTCACACAGAAAGTGAAAGAGCTGGAATCCAAACCCAAGGCTGTTGACTCCAAAGCCTACCTCCTTCTACTATACGAGACTGTAAAAGCAGTCAAGAATGTCAAAGGCTGAAGAAGTAGAAAAAAGAGTGAAGAGGACACTGCATCAGGTGATAAATAGAAGTGAATAAAAACTTGTCTGTGTAATTTTGATGGCAAGGGGGAAGATAAAGTCTGGATGGTAGCTTGAAGAAAAACAGGTTCCAGGGAAGGCTTTTTAAATTTTTTTTGGAGGAAAGCTTTTTGAAAATAATGGCAGAAGAAAACGTGCCACTAACTCAAGAAGGTAAAATTGAGGATACTGAAAGAGGGAGATGACTGATGTAATTAATTGCTAGAGGAGGCAGGAAAGGACGGAATGAGAGCACAGATGAGGCCCTTGGCAAGGAAATGAGAAACACGTTAGAGGAAATCAAAGGGAAGATGAACAAGTTAAAGGGGTACATTTAATATGGCTTCAATCATTAAAATGGAAACACATAAGACTGTTCTGAAAAATTTGATAAATGATTAGGACTTCAATCTTTAGCTATCTCAGAAATGTGTACTGATACAATTCTGTACCCACATAACTTAGTGAACATATTTCTATTTCTTGTAGAACACTGGTCAGTGTTCTAACCAATTTATTTGACCCTTGAAAGAGCAGTTGTTTAAAGATTAATTAGTGGGAAAGAAAATTAGTTGTCCCCTGCTGTCCAAGAGCCAACATCTTTTTTCCTTTATCAAATGATTCACATTCTCATCTCAACAATATTACTGAGCATTTATTATGCAACAGACACTTCAGGAGAGACAATAATTAACAGGACATGGTCTTTGAACTCAAATGACATTATCAGCATTATAATCACTGCCCTTTGGGTAAGACTCCCAGGTACTCTTCTTTTGACAAGCTTTGTCAAGTTCTGGGGAATTTTTAACAAAAGGAAAACTCAGGTATTGCCTCTACCCTCCCCCTTCAGGAGACTCCCAGAACACCCAATAATGTATAATGTGACATGCGTTGTCAATAGAAAAACAATTTTCAACATGCCTGATACAATCAGAAAAATATTCAATACACCTATTGATACAATTAGAAGAATTCTACCAAGTAGGCCTCAGGGTTGACTGAAGGGCTAAACAGATAGGCACCAAATCTTCCTTTGATTTGCTATGTGATCTTAGAAAATCATCTTTATAAAAAAGGAAGTTATTTGCAACATTCTCTAAAACTCTAGGCTCTGTCAGATTTAATCCCCAAAGAAGGAACTTGTTATGGCTAATATTATTTGTCAACTTGACCGGGTCATGCGATGCCCAGATACCTGATTAAACATTATTTCTGAGTATGTCTGTGAGGGTGTTTCTGGACGAGACTAGCCTTTGAATTGGTGGATTGTGTAAAGCAGATGGCCCTACCCAGTGTGGGTGGGCATCATCCAATCCGATGAGGGCTGCAACAGAACAAAAAGGTAAAGGAAGATTGGATTAGGCCTCTCATTTTGCCTGACTCTTCGAGTTGGGACATCAGTCTTCTCACACCTTCAAACTCACACTGGAATCTACACAGAAATGAACTGGCTCTCTATCTCTCAGGCCTTCGAACTACACCACCAGCTCTGCTGGGTCTCCAACTTGCAGACAGCAGATTGTGGGACTTCTCAGCCTCCATAATTGCTTGAGCCAAAACCTTAAAATAAATCTCTTTCGGCCGGGCGCGGTGGCTCACGCCTGTAATCCTAGCTCTCTGGGAGGCCGAGGCGGGC